TCCGTCCCGCTTCTTGCCAGCTCCATCAACGGGCCCACGACTCCGAGCTCCCGCGCCTCCGTCAGGTGTTGATCGCTCGACGAGCAAAGGTGCACGAGCACCGCCGCCGCATTCTCCCGATTCCTCGGCGACCCTCCCCCGACCACATCGACCAAAACCGGCAAAGCCCCCGCGTTCCCGATCCCCGCCCGACCCTCCGGGTGGCTCGCGAGTATCGCGAGTATCGCTAGCGCCTCGTCGACCATCCCTCCTCCCGGCTCGGTCATGAGCCTCACGAGCGTCGGGACCACTCCCGCCCGAACGGCCTTCCCTTTGTTCCCTTGGTAGATGCATAGGTTGAATAGCGCCGTGGCCGCGTCTTTCTTCCCGCGTTGTGTCCCCTCGTTGAGTAACGCGACGAGCGGCGGTATAGCTCCCGAGGCCCCGATCGTGACTTTATTCTCGTCGACAACCGAGAGGCTAAACAACGCGGCGGCCGCGTTCTCACGCGCCTCGGGGCTTCCCTTGCGAAGTACGTGGACGATCCCCGGGACGGCACCCGACGAGATGATGGCCGACTTGTTGTCCTCGCAAATCGAGAGGTTCAGGAGGGCCGTGACGGCGTGTTCTTGGGTGCGCGGGTCTGCGGTGGACGAGAGGAGGTGGACGAGGAGAGGGATGGCCCCGGCCTCGGCGATGGCTACTCGGTTGTCGGCGTTGCGTTTGGCGAGGAGGCGGAGCTCGCCGGCGGCCGAGCGCTGGTCGTCGGGGACCCCGGATGTGAGTTTGAGGAGGAGGGAGCCAATCTTGGTGCGCTCGGCGGGGGAGCAAGAGGAAGACGAGGGTTTGGTGGAGCGGGAGTCGGCGGGGCCGTCGCTGCCGCTGCCCGGGCGCTTAGGGGGGTCGAGGCCGTTGGCTTCGCACCACTGGGCTATAAGGCTTCGGAGGACGTAGTTCGGGGTGAGGGAGGTGCTCGATAGGGCTTGTTGGGTCTTGGGGCAAGTCGCGTGGCCGGCTTGTAGCCATTTCTCGATGCATGACCTTTCGTACGTCTGCATGGATGGTAGAGAAGAGGGTATTAATTTTTATTTTTTTTCTCTTTTCTAGATATTTATGGTCTCATTTTGGATTTGGTTCGATTTGATCGGATAAAATGAGTTTATTCTGAAAAAAAAAATTGATTCAAGTTGGATTTTGAGTTTTTATTAAATAATACGTAAAATGTAACGATTAACGTTGATATGAATGTAAAAGTAGAGATAAATGATTGAAGCGATGGGTAGTTAAAATTATGTGAATGCATCAAATCATATAATTAAAGTTGAGAGGATGATTGATTGATGATTGATACTATTTAATAATATAGATAATATTGAGAAAAGATGAGGTAAATTGGAGTTAGATTTTGAGTTAAAATTCTATATCCAATTAAGCCCTTTGGGAAATGTTAGGATCAGGGAGGATCGTGTGTGTGTGCACGCGCGCGTGTGAGAGAGAGTGGCATCGCAATTATAAAAAGCATATGTATATAGTAAACTCGGAAAGAGGATTTATTGAGGGAAGCTGTACATGGAAAGTGAAATCGTAAGAAAGTAAGTACCTGTCCCGTTGAGACAATGACGGGATCGTTCATCAACTCCAACGAGATAGGACAGCGGAAATCATCCGGTATGACGAGGTTTTTCTGAATTCCCTCTGTCGGTGCTTTCCTGGTGCTGCATGTCGGGCCGGACTTTTCGGATGCAGGGGACTCAATATTCGGATTCACCGTCAGCACAAAATCCTTAATTTTCTTCAAGAGCATTGACATTTTCTCTATGTTCTCTTCTGGGTCCCCACCAGTTGCAGCAACCATCTCGTGCAAAGCTAGCGATTCTTGAGTTAAGTCTGCTATGCCACCCAGCTGTAGTTTATCGACCAATCTCCTTAATACAGCTGGATCTTCAGCAGAATCAGCATTTTTGTTGTACAGCCACAAAAGATCCTCATACAGCTCGGCATCTGGGGCATCAACCCTTCCCTTGGCTCTTCTGAACTGAGCAAGGACAAGCTCGACCTGGAAAATATATTGTTAGAAAGATACAATTGTACAAAACTACGAATACAAGAAATGTAGAATTTGAAATTGCTTTTCTGGAGTAAATAACATGCAAAATGAAAGATAAGATCATTACCTGTTCCTTCACCTCATCTGATATGTCAAGTTTATCAAAATAAATGGCACTTAGAGCTTGCTCTAGTGCAGCTGTCACTTCTTGAAATGTAGTCATGATATGCTCTCTCTCCAGCACCTGCATGCAAAGACGAGCCTTGAATTTTTTTGTAATTCAAATCATAACAAAGAATTGGCTGCGTAACAAATAGTTCGCAAATTCCAAACACACTAAAAGAGATTGTTTATAGAAAGAACTATCTGCGGGATGAAAGGGCACAAATTCTGGACATTGCAATAAAAAAAAATCGAGCCTCTGCAGTTGCATGGCTCAAGCATTTATCATATCATTCACATTTTAATACAGATAAATCTAACCAATTACAGTGATAATTTACAATATGCCAGTTCATCATATTCGATATTAAAAGTTAGGAACAATGATGTCCCCCAAAGGAAAAACTAGATAACGATTGAGAGATAAATAAGTACGTGTAGATTAGTGGACAAGTGGACAGATGAATAGAAATAGTGTCAGAAAAAAATTGCCCAAATTGCCGAGTTCCAAATATTAATATGCCAACTTATTGTCTTTTAACAAAGTAGAAATTTTTCGACTTATAAATGCTTTAAAACGGATGGATAGGGACCACTAGGTCCTTGATCGAGAGAGCTTATCTACTAAGTTCCTATAATAACTTTCCCTAAAAAAGGAAACGAGAACAATACAAAGATGAAATCATATTAATTTGAACTTTTTTAGTAAGAAAAGATTTGCCAAAAACCATCTTGCCAACAGGGTCAATATACAAGGATTAACCTCGTAGTGTTCTACAAATCGGAGATAATAATCCGGTCACGTTTTTTCTATTCCAATGATGTGGCACACCTAGTATATAGAAATTTCAAGCTGTCTCCATAATAACCGGAAGTGACATCGAGTATTTACTATGTAGCGAGTATTCTCCACCAATTTTGATCCTTCCCTGCAATTCTTGTCCAAAAAAATTAATAATATTTTATTTTCTTCGATACAGACCTTGAGCCATCAGAAGATCGCTTCCAAAGCCTGTACCTCAATGAACAGTTTCGAGCATCTTATAACCTTTTGAAATGGATAGAGGACCAGTATACTTTAGATGGTATTGCATCATCGGAAGTCATTAACAATGTCATATATCTCAAAAATGGCATATTTATGTCCCTATGTTTTTCGTATCCACAAGCTGAGCTGCAATTTTAAGACTACAACAGAAAACCATAAGCTCAAGCAAATATTATCAAATGGCAGATGACCGAAAATGGTGGCAAGCACGCTATGACTGCATGTAACACAGCCATAACTGCACCTTCACAAATTTAGAGTGCCATTTCAGTAGAAATCTGGCACGCCACTTCGCCATTGGAGTGCGGGCATAGCATAACCTCCATTTAACAACATTGAGAAAAAAGGTTCGCAGAAAATTCATGTACGGATATTAACTAACAATAGCAGCTGAAACAAAGCTGATGCGATGAACTTCAGACACAAAAGTTTTACTTCCTAACCAGAACATATTTCAAATTTTCATCCAGAGATGTCTGTTAGACAATTTAGCCTTCTACATTTATAAAAAAAAAAGTAAAGAACCCGAATGAAAAAGAATATATCAAAAGCTCCAAGATGAACTTCAACATTCCAGGTTGGTTCCCTCACTCTCACCAACAAGCCCAATCAATACAGCACTTAGTCTAATCACAATATGCATCACTAATTTCCAAATAGATACTACCAGTCAATCCTTATTACATATCTACTAACAAGATTCAGGACAACAAGCCAGTAGTTGAAAACTGTCTCAGACGAACTCCAAGTGAACACGCTTAAACATCAGAATATCAGATCAATCAGATTATACAAATCAAACAAACCTAAATCCAGAACAGTCAGTCATCCAGTCTCAAGCAAAAGATCAGATGTGAAAAAAAAAAAAAAAAGATTAACATCAGAAAACGAAAGTAACGTAAACAGCATACCCACCAGATAAATCTTGCTGCCTTCGTTACCAAACCGGAGCAGCTCCTTCGCCGATTCAAGAGCTCCGGCCAATGAATCCAGTGCACGAACAGAGTCTTCCGGCAGCGTGTCCTTGGAATCGCGAATCTCTTCGAACATTGGGGTCAACAACTTCAGCCGCCGAGCTAGATTCGTGTACTGCTTCTTCACGGAGCTCCTGTAGTCCGAAATCGACGAGATTTCGCTCACCGCGTCGATCAATCTCCGGGCCAGCGCGGCCTTGCTGTCCTCCATCTCGAGCTCGACCCGGCGATCTGAACAGCTACGGAAAACCCAAAAAAAAAAAAAAAAGGAAAAATCTACTCTAACAAGAAAGAATTTTTCCCTGTAAATCAGTGCAGAAATGGCGGAGGTGGAGTCAACGGGCAAGAGCTAGATTTGAGCTGGCGCGTGAATGAACAGTTGGTCGGGTTGTGGTGGGAGTTTCGGATCCGGGTCGGGTATTTTCAGTATTTCTCCATGACTGGTGTGAAAGGAAAGGAAAGGAAATATGGTGATGTCCAGGCTTGAGTCGAGTCTTTTGATTGATGAGTGGTTATTTCGGCTGTAACTGCGGTTAAATTTTATTTATTTATTTATTTATTTTTTTTCCGAACAGCAGATTAATACTGGTTCCTTAATTTTCCTCTCAGTGACTCGAACTCGGGATATGAGATACGCCAAGCCAGGTATGCGTCACTGCGCTAAACCCTCTTCGTCTTACCAGCTGAGAGTTTTTTTTTTTTTTTT